CGGAAAATAAAGTGGAGAAATAATAGCAGATTGAAGAGGGATATAGAGACAGATAATTGAGTCAAGCGAGTGGTAGTGACCATAAGTAAAGTGCATGAATTGTTGTGAATTATAGCATGTGTTTAAGTTAAACTGACTGTGGAAATTCTGTGTATTGCAAAGTTGTATTGAGAAAGAATAAACTAGTTTTATTTAAGAAAGGACTTGTATTGCTGAAGTTCCTCAGGAAGAAATTATACCTGAAATTAACAAACGACCAGAGAAGTAACAGTACTGTAACTTAAGTACATCTACTGATAAAAAAAGTAAAACATGTATATGCACATGAAATTATCAAAGAAAAATATAACCACATCAAAATTTGAAGGATAGGTGGGGGGGGGGGGGGGGGGCCTGACCACATGAAATAACCATTTAAAAGTGCATGAACATTCTAATAATAAAAATTGAAAATCACCACACTCGTGAGCTTTCTATGAGTATACATATGTATTCAATTTCCTTTATTATATTATTCTACTTGTAAATCCTACACACAGTACTGAACAACCATTATAGGTTTCAGGTGTAATGTATTTTAAGTTGACAAGATCAAATATATATATATATATATGCATAGGATATTGATTTCTTAACACTAAAAACACCATCTATTTCCAATTAATATGAACTACAATAATAATAAATTTTGGGTGGTAGTAAAACAAGTTGGGAAATGTTAAAGTCTGGTCTGGAGAATATGCAAATATATCATGTATCTTAAAACATTTACGTCTTCAGAATTCTTTACACACTTTCATTGAAGCACTTTAAGAAGTAAAACTGAACTAATAATTTTCACATTTCCTTAGAACTAAGATATTCCAGTTAATACTTATTTTTTAATGACAAACAATGGTATATTGTGAAGAGTTGTCCAGAAGTTAGAATCTCCTGAGCACTATACTAATTATTATTAATTTTTCATGTATTTCACATTATTATACAAATACTGCCAATATGAAGAATAAATATGCATAGCAAATACAATGATAATGGACAGACATGTTTTGGTGCTGCATATCAAATATTATCAAGACCAAACAGATATAAGTGTAGGTCACATAGCTCCTGTAATGTTACGAGATAATAAATAACTATTAATGGAAACTGAATGTTGCTTAACTGCATGAATTACAGACAAGCTGTGTTAGTTATTTTGCAACCTAAATGATATATGCTTGATGCTTCAGTAAAATAAATGGGTATTGCACACTATTTACTGGAAAAAAAAAAGAAAGAAAGAAGATACATTCCTTAGAATATCATTCTAGCTAGTTACTTTCAAGCGACTTTCAACTTGGATCATTGCATGCTGTGACCTTTCCTTACAGAACATTTGACAAGTATTGCAAAAAAGAAAAAAAAATGTATCAATAAATAAAATAGCTATTTAGGGCTAGCAATAGAACTTGAAAAAAAGTAACCAAACAAGGTACGGATGGAAGTGGACATATCATTTGATCCAGATAATGATCCCATAGCAGACTAAGCCGTCTTGATTTTATATGGAGAATAAAATCATTACATTACTGGTTTCCCAACTTTGTTTATCAAAAGCTTGGTGTTTGAATAGAATCTCAGCTTTCATCATTATACCTTTCCTTCAGTTAACTTTAGAATACTATTTTTATCACTATTTTACAATTAATTTTACGATTGGAAATTCTGGTTCTATTTGTTTTGCCAGTGAAAAAGCCAGTAATGTAGGGATTTTATTCTCTATGTAAAGTTGAGACAGCTTAGTCTGCTATGTGATCACTAGCTAGATCAAGTGATATGTCCACTTCCATCCCTATCTTGTTTGGTTCCTTTTTTAAAGCTCAGTAGCCAGCCCTACATACATTTTTGTATTTAGTGGTAATTTATTTCCCTAATACTTGTTTGTTTACTTTTTTTACAAGATGGCATATGTGGGTTACTAGGTTATTATTTTAAAGCTTTATAAATTTTGTGTAGAATAATAATAAAATAGATAATTATTAAGACTGTTTTGCTCTATCAAATAATGATAAAACTATAGTTACTGCTGGGAATAGGTAGGCACTAGGCCCGTTGAAGAAAGATGATGATGAACGAAGCTAAAATTTTGGTTTTGGCTATTCTCATGTTTTTGACTTTGGAACACTCTGGATAACTGAAAAGCAGCATATACACAGGAGATTAAGAAACTATGCCAGGTACCTCTTCATATCTAGCTTCTGATGACCTGTATGTGTATGGATTTTTTTTATACCTTAACTACATACATAATATAAGAGTTGGCTTCCTAAAGACACTGATTGTATAGTGTACAAAGCATCGAGTATTCTTCATGTTACAGTCATTTAATGTTCATCTATTATTGGCTGGTAATCCTGTGTCATTCTGTACTTAAGCTTTTTTATAGAACACCAGATTTCTGTAAAAAAACTATCTTCAAGGGGAAATAACATCATTTACACTAGATAATGATTTTTTTTTAAATTTTGCATAAAATAATAATAATAAAATAAGTAGTCAAAGATTGTAAAGACTGTTCTGCTCCATTAAATGATGATGAAATTATTGTTACTGCTAGAACTAGGTAGGCACTAGGCCTTCTGAAGAAAAATGGTGATGAATGAAAATAAGAAATCTAAGTTTTGGCTGTTTGCTGGTTTTCAACTTTGGAACAATCTGGATAGCTGAAAAGTGGCATATACACTGAAGATAGAGTGACTATGCCAGGTAGCTCTTTGTAACTAGCTTTTGATGGCCTGTAGAGAAGAAAATCGAAATGACTTTGTGTTACTTTAATACAGGCATCCGTGCCATCCCTACATACATATAGCCCATATCACTGCTGTCTGACCCTCTAAAAATTTGCAAAACAACAAAGGAGGGGAGGGAGGCTATCCAAGTCTACATCATCCTGATCTAAGTCCTCAAGTAATGGCAGAATTGCTTGTAGATAAAGAGATCCCTCAGCCGAAATGAAAGAAGCCATCTTCCACCAAACCACAACCAACACTTCCTCCACCGATAATGCCACACCTGCAGCTGTTGTCATGGGCTGTTGAATGCCAGTACTGTCGGTAACCATTGTAATGGCTATATTAAACTGTAAATTCATAACTACTGACTGAGTACCAGTAATTGAGTGAGAAATTGAATTCACTTTTAATGGTAACAGTTGCATTTTCTTCATAGTTTATGTTTACAATTCTAACAATATTTTTAGTAGCTCTGTTCTGAACTTTTTCCAGGTTATTAATGGCTTCCTGTAAAAAAGGTTTCCATGCCTAAACACAAGACTCCAAACAAGGTCATTACCAAGAATTTGTACTATTTTACAGTATTTTCAAAACTTTTATCTTCGTATGTTTGTTTATAATTCCTAAAGATCTGCAGTTTCCACAAACTTTGCACAGTGTCTACTAGAGTACAGTGATCCATGAATATTCAAACCAAAAATTTCTTTTATTCCCAATTTTTATTAAATCTTGACCAATAAAACAGTTATATCTAGAATTTCAATGGTCAACATAGATACATTTATATTTCTCTGTGTTAAAAAACATTTGTCAATCATTTGACAAATCATAAGATTTATTATTCTATAATGTAAAAGCATTTTCCATAGTTTAAATGAAAGGAGGTAACTCATTGAAAACAACTGGTTACGTCTCAACCAGGGGCCTCATCCATTTTCAATTTCAAAAGCTTCTTCTCAATTACATCAGGTGAAAGGTCCACACAATAAAGTTCCTCAAGCATAATACCCATAAACATTTGTTTTGGCTTATGCAGATTCTCTAGAGGTTCTTCTGTGAATACTGATGAGAAAAACTCATTGAAAATTTTAACTGTCTATTCATAATTTGTTACAATCTCCATTTTCATCAGTCAGGAGCTACTTTGGCTCATAAAAAGTTGGAAACCAAAAAAAATTGCCAACCATCAGGGTTCTAGTTAACCCAAACTCCCGAGTTCCTTATACACAATAATTTGTCAGGACACATGAGATTTGACCCTCCAGGTACCAAATATGCATCACAAAATGCCCCATACGAAAGGCAATCACAAGAACTTTGCTTTCAACTTTGTACCACAGTGAAAAAAACAGCACACAGTGTGCAAACAGCTGTCCATAATCAACTACTAACAGATTTCATCAGTGACAATAAGTTGCATGAAAATAAAGCTACGTGAAAGTACCACATGATTAACCTTTCACCTCAAGTAGGTCAAAGTGTGCATGACACAACTTTTCAGAGTTACATTCAAAATTTTATTAAACTACTATATCATTAATGTATATGAATAAACATAGATAACATATCAAAGTTTAGTATTATTTAAGTTTCAAATTCTTAATTTTAAAAGAAATATTTAAAAAATTCTCAATC